CTGTGTTGTGTCCATGCTCATGCTATGTGTCTGCAGCTTCCACACCAATCCATGACATTCCTCTTCCTTCAATAGACTTTCCACTGCAATTTTCTCTCTAACTCTCCCCTGAGAATCTACTCCCTCCACATTTTTTTTTTTTACTATTTTCCCATAGCCTAGAGCAGTACACCCTTCCCTATTCTGCCATCTTGCTCCAGTACAACACTTGATTCTGAGTCACTGCTGTGGTGAAATTCATTAGCCAAAGGTCACTAGAAACATATCTTTACCCAAACTTGGGTTTACTTTGCCTGCTACAGCACAGTAAAATGTACTTCAGTGAAACATGATGAGACTGGTTAAGAGGGATGAGCTTATTACAGGATTTGGGCTTGTTCTGAGGATGGGAAGAAATGGAGATTGAAGCTATCAGGAAGTAGAGAAAATTTGTCAATTATCAGAAAATTTTTATTATTAAAAGCCAGAAAGAAAGGAGAGAGCTCCTATGTTCACCCCCAAATGCCTGCAACAGCAAGGACAGGGAGGCAGGAACTCAATCCAGGTATCCTATGTGGGTGGCAGTGACCTAGATACTTGAACCATCACTCTGCCTCCCAGGTTGCACATCTAGAATAGGGAGCAAAGCCAGAACTCAAACCCAGGCACTCAAATACAGGATGCAGGCATCCAACCAGAGGCTGAATCACTACACCAAATGCCAGCCCCAGTAACTGATCATTTTAACCATGAGACAAAAAGATTAAAGCAGGACTAGAGATATCACTGGAAAAAAGCAACAGTGACTCAGGTTAGTCACATGAATTAGTTGTGCTACTATTTTTGTGACTGAGAATATTCTTTTCCATCTTTTATTTCAGGCGTGGTCATGGAATGGCTATATTTCTGTCTTGTTCCACCATAGTCAAGGAATTACATTCTCTAATTAGTGTTTACAATCTATGAAAATTATTTATGTTCTGCCGAGGACACTAGATGTGTCCAAGATGGATTTCTTAATAGATGAAACATGTTAAGAAATCACCATTTATTATAATTTCTTAATGTTTTTAAGAGTAATGATTGTTAAATTTTGTCAAAAAAGCTTTTTGGATCCATGGAAAAGATCATGTTATTCTTTCTGAATAGCTGTTAATAAGATGATTAAGTAAATTTTCTAGTAGCAACCCCCCATTGCATCCTGGAATAAACTCCACTTGATCATAAGCTTTGTTTCCAGGAGGCTTCTGGATTTGAATGTAGTTTTTTAATGCCACAATGCCAGCTTTTATCAATATTCAAAAGTGATACTCAGTTTACTTTTTTTTTTTTTTTTTTTTTTTTTTTTTTTGACAGGCAGAGTGGACAGTGAGAGAGAGAGACAGAGAGAAAGGTCTTCCTTTGCCGTTGGTTCACCCTCCAATGGCCGCCGCGGCCGGCGCGCTGCGGCCGGCGCACCGCGCTGATCCGATGGCAGGAGCCAGGAGCCAGGTGCTTTTCCTGGTCTCCCATGGGGTGCAGGGCCCAAGCACCTGGGCCATCCTCCACTGCACTCCCTGGCCACAGCAGAGAGCTGGCCTGGAAGAGGGGCAACCGGGACAGAATCCGGTGCCCCAACCGGGACTAGAACCTGGTGTGCCGGCGCCGCTAGGTGGAGGATTAACCTAGTGAGCCGCGGCGCTGGCCCACTCAGTTTACTTTTGATTTGGTTTGTTTTTTCAGGTTTCCTAATTTTTCTGTGAAGGTTTGTCTTCATTTTTCCTCAATAAGAACATTTAAATACCATTGATCTTACCTGCTCTTTAAAAAGCTGATAGAATGAAATCCTGTCTCACAACAAAATGGATAGAATTGGAGATCATTATGCTTATTGAAATAAGCCAGTCCCATTTTCCCTTATTGTGGTAATTAATATACAGAGTAAAAAAAAAAAAAAAAAGAAAAAATGTAATGTATGGGGTTATCACTGTTGCATAGTAGATTAAGCCTCAGCCTGTCATACCAGCATTCCATATGGGTGCTGGTTAAAGTTCCAGCTGCTCCACTTCCAATCCAGCTCCCTGCTGATGGTCTAGGAAAGCAGTGGAGGTCCCTATGCTCATATGGGGGACCCAGAAGAAATTCCTGGCTCCAGGCTACGGATCAGCCCAGCTCCAGCCTGCAGCCATTTGGGGAGTGAACCAGCTAATAGAGGACCTCTCTCTGTGACTCTGCTTCTAAAACAAATAAATCTTTTAAAAAATAATAATAATGTATATGAATGAAATTGACATTTTGATATTTGATTATTGTTTATAGCCCTTGTTGATACTCTTGAGGAACAGTATTTTTTCTACTTACTACATTTTGATTTCTTTATTTAGGGTTAAACTTGTGATTATAAAGTAAATTGAGAGTATGTCATTATAAAAATTAAAAGAAAAATAAGAAAGGAAGGAAGAGGGAGGGTGGGATGATAGGGTAGGAAATATCATTAGGCTCTTAAAACTAAGTATATGAAATAGATAATTGTCAATACTCAATTCTTTTTATGGCTGGATTGTGTTACATTGTACAGATATTCCACAGTTGTTTATCCATTTACCTGAGAACAGACATTTGTATTGTTTCCAATTCAGAGGATATTACAAATAAAACTGCATTCACTTTGAAAGAATATTTTTTCTGGATATAAAAGTCAGCTTTAAGGATAATCCACTGTGTTCTGGTTCCACAGATAGAAGTTAGCAGAAATTTGAATTTTTGTGTTCCTATGTATAATGTTTCCTTCTCACTGGATGCATTCAAAATATTCTCCTTTTTTTGGTTCTCAGAAGTTCAATTAGGATGTTTTTTAAAGATTTATGTATTTATTTGAAAGAGTGACAGAGAGAAGGAGAAACAGAGACAGAGAGTGAGAGAGTGCTTCACTCCCCAAGGACAACAACAGCCCAGGCTGGGCCAGGCCACGATGCCTGGAGGCAAGAATTCTCTCTGGGTCTCCAACATGGGTGACAGGGGCTCAAGTATTTGGACCGTGTTCTACTGCTTTCCCAGGCATAATTACCAGGACCTGGAAGGGAAGCAGGATAGCTGGGACTTAAACTGGCACTCTGATATGAGATGGCAACATCACAAGCCGCAGCTTAACCTGCTGTACCACAATGCCAGTCCCAATTATGTTAAGCATGGGTTTTCTTCATTGTTATTTTTCTTGGAATTCACTGGGTTTTTTGACTCTATAAATTTATATTTCTCACCAAATATGGGAAATATTCAACAAAAAATCTTGCATTTCTCAGTTTGTTCTTTGCTTTCTGAGAGTCTGTTTTATTTACCATAATTCTTTTGAACTTTCACCACCCTGTGCAAAAGACTATGACTCTGTTAATTTCTCTATATTTTTCCTGTTGTTTAGGATGAAAAGTTCATATCATTTTACTTTCACATTTTCTCAGTCCTTTTCTCATCTCCAGTCTGATATTAATCATATCCAGTGAATTTTTCATTTCAGATGTCACAGTTTTTAGTTTAGGGATTTCCATTTGATTCTCTATTATGTTTTATATTTCTACAGTGTTTTCCTTTTTTTTCTCATTACAAACTACTTCTGCATTTCCCTTACTTATTTGAGGATAATTTTAAGAGTTCCTTTAAATTTCTTTTCTGTTCATTCCAATATCTTGGTTAGTTGGGAACTAGCGTCCATATTTTCTTTTCTCTGAAGCAGAATTAATGTTTTTCTGTTTCTTCACTTTTGGATTAATTTGTAATAGAAAGTTTTATTTTATAAAATAAAATATTATAGAAAATTTTCATTTTTTTATATTCCTTCAGAGAGTTTTAAATGTTTTCAACGGGCATTTAAGATGCCTGAACTCACACTATAAACTTAGTCATTAGCTGATAATTTATTTCTTACAGCATTCACTTGAATAAATTAGGTTATATCTGCATATAAATATATAGGTATATGAATATATGACTTATAATTAATTATTTTTGAGGGGCTTGATCTAATAGACATTACATGACCATTGCTAGAATTGGAATTCTACATATTAGTATATAGAACTTTTTCATGACAATTTTTAAATATTTTTATTTATATATTTGAAAGGCAGAGTAACAGAGAGATCTTCCATCTGCTGGTTCCTTCCCCAAATGGCTGCAACAGCCAAGGCTGGGCCAAGCTGAAATGAGCATCTAGGAACTCTACCTAGCTCCCACATGGGTGACAAGGCCCCAAGTAGTTCGGCCACCATCCTCTGCTATCCCAGGTGTGTTAACAGAAAGCTGGATCAGTAGCAGAGGAATAGGACTCACACACTCTAATATGGGATTTGGGCATCCCAGGTAGTGTTTCAACCCTCTATAACACAACATCCTCCTCCCACACTTCATAATAGTATTTGAATGTATAACTTCATCTAACAAAAAAAATTGGGGCACACAGTAGTATAACAACAGAAATGTGTTGAAAATTCTAGTTAAGGATATTCATATTTGGGGCTGACACTGTGGCATAGCAGGTAAAGCCACAGCCTTATGTGTCAGCATCCCCTATGGGTGCCAGTGAGTCCCGGCTGCACCACTTCCAATCTGGCTCTCTGCTATGGCCTGGGAAAGCAGTAGAAGATGGCCCAAGTCCTAGGGCCCCTGTATCCGCATGGGAGACCCGAAAGAAGCTCTTGGCTCCTTGCTTCAGATCAGCTTGGCTCCCGCCATTAAGGCCAACTGGGGAGTGAACTAGTGGATGGAAGACCCCTCTCTCCCTCTCCTCTCTCTGTGTAACTCTGACTTTAAAATAAATAAATAATAAATATTTTAAAAGGATGTTAATATTCCATTTACCTTGGTAATTTCCAGCTGTAAAGATTCTGTAGATCTGAAAAGAAGGAATTCTTGAAAGCTCTATGAGTACAATCCGTCTTAGTGGCAAGAGCCAAAAATTTCAGGTCTTCAGTTTCATCTATGTGAACTGCATGCTCAGTATATTAGTTGACATGGGTCTGTCACTTATAATTATCTTTTTGATTCAGGTTAGGTCAAGAATTGGCTATTGTCCTCAACTTGACTCCATGCTGAACCACATGACAGGTCGGGAATTGCTGATCATGTATGCCAGACTTTGGGGGGTCCCTGAGTCAAATATTTGCAAGTATGTTGAAGCCTTTTTGCATTCAGTGCACCTAGAAGCCTATGCTGACAAGTTTGTTTACACATACAGGTGAGATATTATGCTTCAGCAATTATTAGGCTGCCTATCTGTGTATTTACTGTTTAGAATCAAGCTTGCAAACTCAACTTAAACCCTATGTCACACAGAAGCAGTAACATGAAATAACCTGATGTCCTGTCAGGGTTCAGATATCAGGAATAAGGCAGATCCCATTTATCTAATGTTAACCTTTTTGCCAAAATTTTTTTAAAGATTTTTATTTATTTACTTGAGGGCAGAGTAACAGACAGAGGGAAGGAGAGAAAGGTCTTCCATCCACTGGTTCACCCCCCAAATGGCCACAACGGACACAGCTGGGCCAATCTGAAACCAGGAGCTTTTTCTAGGTCTCCCATATGGGCACAGGGGCCCAAGCACCTAGGCCATCTTCTGCTGCTTTCCCAGGCCATCAGCAGGGAGCTGGTTTGGAAGTAGAGCAGCCAGGACTCAAATTGGCACCCATATGGGATGCCAACACCGCAGGTGGACGTTTAGCCTACTATGCCACAGTGCCAGCCACCCTTTTGCCAACATTAACACAGGCTTTGCATTTAAAAAAAAAAAAGAACATTTTTATCCCTATTTCCCAGAAGTTATTTTTTCTCCCAAAACCAAAAATATGTCATAAAGAATGATGCTGAAGCAAATTACCAAAAAAAAAAAAATAATAATCCATGAAAATGAGCTGATACAACCACTTGGATGTCAGCCCGCTGCTTTTTCAGTCGTACCAAATCAACATTCTAGATGTATAAGCTAATTCTGTCGTATGCTTTAATGACAGGTGTACCCTTATCTTTTCCTTCCTCTTCCACTTTCTGTCTCCTCCTTTGACTTCAAAGTGGAGGACACAAACGTAGACTTAATACTGTTATTGCCCTCATGGGAAAGTCCTCAGTTGTCTTCCTGGATGAGCCATCAGCTGGCATGGATCCAGTGGCCAGACATCTCCTCTGGGACACCATTACATGGATCTGTAAAACTGGTAAAGCTATCATCATAACTTCCCACAGGTATGACCCACTGGGAGGCTTGGTTGGAAGTTATAGGGGGTTACAGTGGGCGTAAGATGAAATTAGTTGGAATCAAGAATATGGTCACTGAACTTATCATCTAAGTATATGAGCTACAGAGGAGGGCCTAAGGGTAGAGGCTGAATGTGCTAAAGGAGTAAATGAAGAATCTTCAGTTGAGTTGTAGAATCAAGAATTGAAAGATAAGTTAGGAAAGTTTTCCTATTATGGATTTAGTAGGTTACTTTGAATTTTAAAATTTCTTCCTAAACATGAAATACTAAGCCTTCAATTCCAAGTCTTCCAATCCTGGCTCTTTTTAAAGTACAGTGTTTGTCCTCTGAAAGGGAGTCTCTTCAGCCATATCTCCTTTGTTCTCCTAGCATGGAAGAATGTGAGGCCCTCTGTACTAGGCTGGCCATCATGGTAAAGGGGAGGTTCATATACCTAGGCAGTCCTCGGCACCTCAGGAACAAGTATGGTAATATATGCACTCTGACAGCAAAAATTAATATTGATAAGGATGAAGAGAAATTACAGATGTTCAAAAATTTCATTGAAAAAACTTTCCCAGGTAATATAAGTAGGACTGATTTGTGGCAATTTTGTGTTAAGTCATATGTACTTCTTCTATTTCATGTCCTCCATAACTATCTTTCCAATCAAATACTGATGTCTATTGAACATTTATATTAAGCTCCTTTACATAACTTTTCTATGAACTTGTCCCAATTATGCTAAGAAGCTTTCACAGAATAACAGAGGTTCTCACCAATATGTGTAGAAGTCAATCAGTAAGATAAAACTGTTCTTCTGTCTGTATCTAGAGTTAAATTGTTGAGGATAAGTCTCTATTATTTATCTTTGATCATTCATTCAAGTCCTTTTATGAAGCATGCATCCTCTGCCTTTTCCTGATCCCTGAACCAGGCTATACTTAAGAAATACAAACAAATATAGTAAACTCCCTGTTCTCCTTCCAAGGAAATGACCTGAAAATGTTGCACATGAAACAATCACTCTGCTTTGTGTACTAACTTGAGTTAGTGCCCCTCTGTGCACATGGTCAATAGTCATTTATAACATCTAGTTTTTTCTATCCCTGCTAATTTATTCTAATCATTAAACAGAGATATAACAAGTCTTTTAATAATTTTGATTTTATTAGTACCTTAGTCCATTTTCTGTTGCTATAAACAAAATACCTTAGTCTGGGCAATTTTTAAAAAGGAAAGTTTATTTTGGTTCATAGTTCTGTAGGCTGGGAAGTCTAAGATTATGGTGCTAGCATCTGCTCAGCATCTTGTGAGGGGACCTTCTTCATTTATAAAATGATAGGACACAGCAAGTTCATCTCTCCCTTTCATAAAATTACAAATGTAACCGTGGGGGCTGCACTCTTGTGACCTTATCTAATCCAAATGACCTCCTGAAGACTCTGCCTCATCATTCTGTTACAATGGCAATTAAATCTCAACTTGAGTTTCAGAGGAGGCAAATATTCAAACCATAGCAGTTTAGTCTCTGCTTTGAATGATCACTGTCAACAGGATAGTGGCCAGACTGTCAGGGATCAAGATGGAAATCAAGGAAGCTATACCAATGGTAAAACAATAAATAGGATTGACCTGTACTAAGGGAGTTACAATGAGAACTGAAAGAAAAAAATGATAGGAGTGTGTGCTTGTGTGTGTGCATGGATGGATACATACATGCATAGACAATTCAAGAGAAGAAACCATTCTGAGGGAAAAATAATTCAGGGTTAATTATTTTAGTTATAAGGTACCTATGAGATATTCAGACTAATATATCCATTAGAGAGTCATTTGGCCATCCATTTATTATGGAACATTTAACTGCACACAGTGTTGAAGATCCTGAATTGCTGTAAATTATATGTATTGTTTGCCAATCCAACATCCTGCTTAACCTGAGGACCATCAAGTACACACAGAGAAAAAAGATATTTGATCTTAGAAGTGAATACAATAACTTGGTTATTAAAGTACTATCCGATATAATATGTGTACATGTAAAGTTGCCAATTTACCAGTCTTTCCCTCCACCATTGAGCAAATTAATTATTTCAAATATGACTTCATTTAAAGACTATCCATAAAAGAAGGAAGGAATATGTGACAGGTGACTTAAATATACAATTAATCCTAAAGTTAATTCTAGAAACTGCAATAAAACCTTAAGTAAATGCTTCTCCTAATGACAAAGAATTTAAGAGAAGAAGCATCATTTTTAAAATAACACAAAGGGAAAAGTTCCTTTATTTGATTATTTGTCCACAGTCCTTATCTACACTCTTGAGGAACAGTGGTTTTTCTACTTAAAATTTGTTGAATTCTTTATTTAGTACAGGGTTAAACTTGTGATTATAAAATAAACTGAAAGTATGTCTTTATAAAAATTTTTAAAAAATAAGGAAAGAGGAGGGAGAGTGGGAGCATGGGTGGGAGGGAGTACGAGATAGGAAGTATCATTATGCTCTTAAATCTGTATATATTGTATTTGTTCACTTTATATAAATAAAAATCAAAAATTAAAGAATTCCTTTTTCTGCCTCATGGCAGATTATATTCCCAGAAAGGTCCTATTATTAAAATAAAAATACATACTGGAAAACATAAAATCACTTTTTAACAGTATGCTTGCAGTCACACACACACACACAAAAAGATGAAATTCAAATAACCAGAAAAAGAACAAGAAAAAAATGATCAAGCTGAAATAACAATAATAAATGTGACAGCGGGTTTTCAGTGAAGCAAATTACAATATCAGTACTAAGATAAAGAGATTTAACTCACTGTAAGATGTATAAATTAACTTGAGAGTCTCACATTAAACAGGAACCTTCAAAGATAAACAAATGCGAAGTTTCTGGTCTGGCATGTTAAAAGTTTGAAAGTTGCCACTCTGCTCTAACAGCATGTGAAAACCTTGACAACCCAAAAAATCAACTCTTCTTAAATATGTAGAAGTGGCATAAGAGCACCCCAAAGATTACAGAGATGGATGGGAAAATATAGAGACTCCCAACCTGTTTCAAGACCCAAGAGCCAAAACTTGCACAGACAACAGTGCCTAGGTAAGGAAACCTGCACTGTAATTGACAAATTGCTGGTGGCTCAGCATGACAAGTCTGAGAGAAAAAAACTCCAGGAGGCCCAGTCACTGAGGCATTAGGGGAGGCACACCCCTACCTCTCAGAGCTTCTGATAGCAGTTTTTCATGGTGAATAGTGAAGAAAAACACCTGCGTGATTCTGAAGTGGCAGCAGGGAGATCATTTCTTAACTACACCAGAATATACTGTTCTTTTTGTCAGAATCTGCCCTCAAGAGAAACTGTGAAACTATGAAATTCCAGAACTGTTGAGGTTTTATCAGAGTCTCAAGGACCCAGGGAGGGAAAATACCTAACTCCAGACAACTCTACCCAATTTGTCCCCTCTATGGGGTATCTGAGAAGCACAGGGTCACGAAAAAACTGAGACACGATGAACCACGGAATGATTCCCCCGCCCCACACCTTACCACCACATTACTAAAGGCCTGTTAACAGCAGTCCCTTTTGCCCAGTACATTATGTCTGGTCATCAAGAGGAAAAATTGCAAAACATACCAAAGGATAGCTCAGTTTGAAGACACAGAACAAGCATCAGAACCAACTCAGAAATGCAGGAATGTTGGAATTACCAAAGATTTTAAAACAAATATGATTGTTGTGCTAAGGGCTCTAGTGGATTAGGTAGGCAGTATGCCAGAACAGATGGACAACATAAGCAGACAGAAATCCTAAGAAATTGTAACCACTATGCATTTGGCACAGTGGTTAAGATGCCACATGGGATGTCATCATCCTGTATCAGAGTGCCTGGTTCAAATCCTGGCTCCACTCTCAAGCCTGGCTTCCTGCTAATGCATACCCTGGAAAGGAACAGCTGGGTCCCTGCCACCCACAAAGCAGACCTGGATGAAATTTCTGGCTTTGGCCTGGCCTCACCTTGACTGTTGCAGGTATCTGTGGAATGAACCAGCAGATGGAGGTCATCTTTCTGTCTGCCTCTCCCTCTCTGTCTCTATGTTTAAAATAAAATGAAAATAAACAAAACACATTTTTAAAGAAAGGAAATTCTAACAGCCAAAAAGAAATGCTAGAGGTAAAAAAAAGGTAACAAAAATGAAGAATGCCTTTGATGAATGTGTTAATTGACCAGACACAGCTAAGGAAAGAATATGTGAGGTTGAGGATATCTCAGCAGAAACTTTCAAAACCAGAATTCCACAACAACAACAGACTACCAAGAACTGTGGGACACCACAGTATAATGTACATTTAGTAGGAATATCAGAAGTAGAATGATAGAAAGGAATAGAAGAAATATTTGAGACAATAATAAGTTTCCCTCAAATTAATGTCAGACACCAAACTACAGACCCAGTCAGGATAGATGCCATTTTTTAAAAAACTACACCTAGACATGTCATTAATACTGTTACCATATTATTATGCTACAAGGAATTAAAGGTTAAATCCTGAGAGATGCCAAAGGAGAAAACACCTTGCCTATGGAGGAACAAAGATAAGAATTACATCTGAATCCTGACGAGTTTGGTGTGGAAGTATTTGAAGCATTAGAGAAAAAAATGCCTATCTATAGAGTTAAGTACCCTGTGAAATTATTCTTCAAAAGTGAAAGAGAGGCCGGCGCCGGGGCTAATCCTCCGCCTGCAGCGCCGGCACCCCGGGTTCTAGTCCCAGCTGCTCCTCTTCCAGGCCAGCTCTCTGCTGTGGCCTGGGAGTGCAGTGGAGGATGGCCCAGGTGCTTGGGCCCTGCACCCGCATGGGAGACCAGGAGAAGCACCTGGCTCCTGGCTTTGGATCAGCGTGGTGCGCCGGCCGCAGCAGCCATTGCGGGGTGAACCAACAGAAAAGGAAGACCTTTCTCTGTCTCTCTCTCTCACTGTCCACTCTGCCTGTCAAAAAAAAAAAAAAAAAAAAGTGAAAGAGAACCAAAGATGTTGTTAGATAAACAAAAAAATTGAGAAAATCTGTTTTGAGTAGGACCGCTTTACAAGACATTATTTGTAGAGAAAGAAAATTTTGTAGATCAGACATTTGTATCTACATAAAGAAAGAGGATCAGAGAAAAAGAAAAAGAAAACCATTTTTCTCATTCTTAACTAAGAGTTTTCAAAATAATACCAACACTATACTTAATTATGTATGTGTGTTTATGCTTGCTTTCATAAGTGAAATGAATAAATGAAAGGCATCAAAGAGTCAAGGAATATGAGGGAGGAATTAGGGTTATATTGTTATAGCAGGGTATTCATACTGAATGTGAAGCAATATATCATTTAAAGGTGGACTTAGATTCATTGCAAACTCTAGGGCAACTACCCAAAAGTGTTAAGGTAAAAAAAAAAAAAAAACTTTTTTAGTTAAAAAAAGTATACCTGATAATAATAAGAAATGAGAGAATATAGAGTCATATAAAATGCTTGGTTAAAACTACAAAAAGCAGAGGAGTGGAAGACAAAAATAATAAAGAACA